TTAGTGTCTAACATGGAAGGGCCTAGACATGTATAGTACTTGTGTGAAAGCCACCGATAGTCATTTAAAGGGGCATTAGGTAAAATTAGATAAAGAGCTGACAGTTCTAGCTATAATAGTTTAAAAAAAAACATAATGAAAACAGAATATGCTGAAAATTTCAGTCAAATTGCTTCACTGTGAACCAAGATATTAGCAATTCAATTTTAGGATAGCCTCAAACGTCATAATTATCGTTTTCTACGATAATAAACAAATTCTTGGTTGTCCATTTTTACGTTAAATTATCCGTCATGAAAGGTATTCAAGTTCACTAAATATCGCAGGCTAATGATGGCAGCGAGAGTTGATTATGATCTTGATGAGCTAATTAATGTTTAACTAATAATTTAAATAACATTTCAGGCCTAAAGAAAGACCTTAAATAGGCAGAATTAGCTCTTAAATAATGCATGTTTAAGGATTTTTAATTACTTGCAAACTACAATATTGTGAAAGTAAAAATTTCTAAAAGGAATACCAGTCAATATTGGTTCAGCTCTGTTCAGTATATAAAAATATATGATGTATTGAAATTTACCTATATTCAGCATCCTCTGTAGACGATATAATCCTATTAGTTTGCAGTAAAATCTTCTGATAGTCCTCTTTTTCATTTGATTGAATAATATGTAAGGGGATTAATCTTCCCTTGATGTCTTTGTTTTGATTTCTGTTAAATACTCAATTGAGTATATTTTGATATGGAGTAAGCAGTGAAAAATTAGGTAACAATATTACAAAATAATGTATGTTCTAGCTGTGATGTCATATTTTGCCGCTAAGACTGTAGTCTATTTTTTTAGTATCTTTAAAGCAGAAAGCTATACATGTAGATTATTACAGATTCTAACAAATATATAGCTTTTATTAAACAACAGTAAAATGATATTCTATAGTCTATATTGTTGAATGGCATCATGTTTGCTTGATTTATTCTGTATTTGTGGCCATTGTGCATTAAATTCTGACAGATAACCGATTTATATGAACATAGTGAATTGAATTCATGTTATAAGACTGTCATTAATTATCAAGGTTTATTAGTAAGGACTAATCTCATTAATGCACAACAGCCCTCACTATACCTGAGTAACAAGTTTTTCACAGACTATAGATTTCTAATTGATCATCGGATTAACAGTTGCCCAGCATTCTGAGGAGAACAAACCTTGCAAATTTAACTGTATAAGCAGGCAAATCATAGAAACAATCTACAAAAGTTCAATGAAGTATTGTTTATTATAAACTGAAATACTTTTGGGGTTTTCTGGAAATCTTTTAGATTTTGACTTTCTTTTGATAGAAAAAGGTTTTTTACATTTTGTTAAATTCTGTTTAACATATAGGCCTACATGTAGGACTACTAAACAACGTATTCTAAATAAAAATTGTTTTTCTGTGTAATGTAGTTTGATCTGAAGTTTGTAGGTAGTGCTATTCTTGGTAGACGTTGTATTAACCCGATAGACTTAATGGATTTAACAGCTCAACAGAATTAGGTCAATCTCATCGCCTATCCTAAATCGTGGTTAATCTAGGATTAAATTTCCATTAGTGAAGGCAAGATTATCCAGCTCTGTGTGGTATTTAGATCAGATTAAGTGACTGGTGTCAGAAGTGTTTCAAATTACACTAGCTGTTCCATAATTTACCCTTCTTCCCCATGAATTTAGAATCTCATGACATTAGAACCACATTTAAATGTACATGTAGATGAAAAAACTTTGAATTTATTAATGAATTTTAACCAAAATAAAAGTACCATAGACCTTATGTTATATTTAAGTTCCATGATAGTAGGCCTATTAGTGTGAAAATCTTTGACCTGTTTTCCAAAATTAATTACTGGGAGAAACTCATTCTACTCAAAAAATTGTATTTTCCGACACATTTGAGGGTCTGTACATTGTATAATTGACAAAATACATTTTTCTTTAACCGGCAGTGACATTTTGTATTTCTCGCTCATGAATCTAAAAGTTAATTTTGGCTTAATATAGCAATATCAGTATAGAATGAAAAAAATATGTATTGATTAAAATTGGAAAATGGATCACAACTGTGATAAACACGAGACAATATTGTAAGGAAGGATTATCTCTGATCGGATAAGAGGAATTAGAACACCCTGAGGTATTCAGATTAAAGATTAAGGTTAAGATTTAGATTAGGCTTATAAGGACAAGGCTTTATTTTCACACACATGTACAGTACTTATACCGATTATTAAAAAAAAAGATATGGTATATTCATATTATGCCTAGATAGGCTTAAGATCTTAAGATTATAATCATGAGTACATTGTACATGTGATACACATGTAGTTTTTCTTTTTTATTGGATTTAGCGGAATTAGAACACATTGGTAAATAAAATTTCAGGACCTTATTATATATGCAGGTGTAAGCTCTGTTCAGCAAAAATTATGTGGAATTTAAAAAAAGTAGATTAAATAAAGATACATGTATATAGGATTTAGAAAATGTCAAATGCAGGCACTGATGGCACATTTTTAGTAACAAAGGATTATTTTCAGGCATATATTAAGGGAATAGGATTAAAGATTAGGATTAATCTTCTGGAGAATATATAAAAAATGTATGTTTCCAAGTCCTAGTAGCCCCAGACAGTGTTTATATCTTGAACTCATTTGTAATTACATTCCAGACAAAAAATCAAATATAAAGTTTCAGCTATTTATACAAAATCAAAATATGCCATGCTTACCAAAACAAATCCATACTGGTCGTAAAATTATTGAAATTATTAATCATTCTAAAAGGAGGTTAGGACTATTTAAAGTGTACATAATAAGTCTCTATAGATTTCTTACCTCTGTCTTTTAGAACTCGGATGAACAATGAATGTTTTTATATTTGTGTCTTCTAACATCAAAGCCATGCCATATTGACTACAATTATTATTTTAGTCTTACGAACTAAATGTACTTGTAATATAAGTAATTTCCAGGTCTTACTAAAATTTTGGTCTCCCATTTGATTTTAAGCGACAATGTTTTTTTTTTATACAAACCAGAATAATTACTTGTCATTAATCAGCCTATTAATCATACATATGTAATATTCTCGGATAATACATGTACCTATATGTACGTTTAATCATACATATGTAATATTCTCGGATAATACATGTACCTATATGTACGTATAAATGTATTTCTTGATAACATCTATTAATGAATACAAATGTTATTTTGAAACACAACCCATTTAAGAATTAGAATTTTCAAACACTGGATTTTATAAATATGAAGGTTTGTTTGATTCCATTGGTTTGTAGAGAACTATAGTATTTTATTTCATGGATATTTTCAATAATTGAATTTGGAATATACATGTACTGTGCCATGAAAAAATTAAGTGTGTAAAAGTTTTCTTAGATAAATATACAGGTACATTTAAACAAATGTTATTGAACAACCCCAGTAATATAGATTTTCTATAAAATATAAATATATTCACATTAAAAGTAGTTAGAAACATTAATGTAAGTACATTATTTTAGCAGGTTTACTGTAACCCATTCTAATTCATCCTATTGAGCTAGGCGTATCCTTCTCTCATTAATCTCCACTAATCCCCTTCATCAAAGACACGCTTAATCCACTAATCCTAGCTTAAGGGGGTTTATCGATGATGAATCATTCTGACGCGGCTGTGGTGATTAGCGAGGTTAACTTGGGTTGGGTTGTATAAACACTGTGTGTATGTAGAAAAATATGAATTATAGCTTTTATATGTACAGTTTATTAATCCATCATATTTACATACATATATTATAGTAGATGACTACATGTAACTTGGTACATATGTGCATATCTTAAAGAGATATTATATTGTAAGAAAACACATGATGGCTTTAGATTTACATGTATACCAGACTTTATTATAGCATTAGACTGAAGAGCTTCACTAAAATACTGTTGTATAACAAGTCCACTAATATACTGGAAACAAGGCATAATTCTTTGGTGCTTGTCATTTTGTGCTGCACAGATTTGTCCTGTAGGCCTATCAGTGTTTTTATTGATATATATACATGTAATTCATGTCCGACACAGAGTTTATCAGTGCTTGACATTTATTATTATTATTTACAGGCACCGATTCCTAACAAAATAGAAGAGTTTTGTGAAACAATATTATTTATTTTAGTACTTGTACATACACATGTTTATAAGTACAGTTTAATCTGGACTGATTTTAATTGTGTTTTCACAAAATTGTCTCCTGTAAAATATAAAGTCCAAAGCAAAAGTTATTTTTTATGAAATATGAGTATTTGTTCAATGATAGAGTGGTGGTGAAATGAGATGTATTCACCAATACATACATGTACATGTATATACAAATGTACATGTATGTATATTGAATCAATTTGTATTTTTATTCGCCTTGTCAATGAAGGATACATGTTTGATACATATATTTTATTATTACATGGCCTACATGTAGGGCCCTAGTTAATGGATCCAGAAAACTCAACGCCAATTACCATCCTTCTCCTTCCTGAATTTTGTTTTGTTAGAAGAGACCTGTTCTTTTTAGCAGGGCCTGAATAGATTGGTCATCTTAACTCTGTAATCATGAGACAAGGCTTTTATTGACCAACAGAGTTCCAACATCTAGTGAAAGATCATCAAGTCTTTTAAAGGTGCTGAGGGGAAAAACACTTTGGAGATTGTTTTGTACTATCTGGAAAAATGTTTTTCTCATAAAGGTGCAAAGTTTGTTTTGTACTATCTGGAAAAATGTTTTTCTCATAAAGGTGCATGCTTATGAATGTTATACATTTCTGTTACAAATAATCATACATATTAAGCACCCCCCCCCCTCCTCCTCCTCTCATCCCCCTTACACCAATGACCAGTAATCATGCATATCTAACAGATAGGTAATGACGTTATTCAATTCATATTAACATTGATTATCTTTCAGAAGGCAAAAAGTACAGATGAGTTACCTACCATGTTGCTAAGGGAACAAATAGCCACTGGTTCACAGGAAGTCAAATCTGCCAGTCCGAAGAAAACTGACACAAATAGCACACAATTAGCAAGTAGGTGATTGTTAATTTCCAGTAGGTGTTTGTACAGTATGTGTGATACAATTACTCACTTCATTCATTCATTCATTCATTCATTATAAACACGCATTTTGACAAACAAATAATGCTATTTCTAGAACAGCTGATATACAATTTCTTATTCATTCATTCATTCATTCAATAAACATGCATTTTGATTAACAAATCATGCTCAAGAATGAGCAGTTGATAGTATTTCTCATTTGACAGAGTCCTTCACCTCATCTTATTATAAACAAACTTGAAGCATGTGTACATGTACATGTAAATATCCCAAAGCAACTTGAAGATGGTAAAAATCACAAAAAGTGAAATTGCAATGGTTTACAATCAAAAACCATATAAGGTATAAGAAAAGATGTAAGAGCTTGTTAATCCAAGATGTCACCTGGTTTCTGTGGTAACATGTACTAATATGTTTTGATGTATAAAGAAGATTTACATGGCTTTACTCAGGTATGCCTGGTCACATGACCTGAAATCTTGGAATTACAGCAAAATTCTGATGTAGTTTACCGTGTACCTTATTGACGTTTATCATAAATTTATGTTTTAAATTTCTTTCAAAAATTTACTCAGTTTCAAGATTTAACAAAAAATCACCTTTTTTTAAATCAACGTTATTGATATTTGGACTATTTTGATAAGGTATAAATGTTGTAGCGCTTACGATCAAAGATGTTCAAAGCTTACACGTAGATATTTTTTACACTAATCTTAAGAAATGAAATCACGTTTACAAGGTTTTACAGGAGTTGAAAGGGTTAAACCTTAAGCACGCACAAATCTAGCTTCCCTTTTTAACTCGTATTAGCCGTTGGCTTGGTCGCGTTTGACGAAGAATTCGGTGTATTTCTTCAAATTACTTTACGATTGGATAAATAAATAAATACCTGAAGCATTTGTGTTAACAGAGATTTACTAGCAAGCTTTCAATTCTTTAATGACGATCAAAAAACAACAACTTAAAAGATACAGCACAACTCTAAATGTAAATTCTTTGAGATTAAAAGAACAGAATTTTAATAACTGAAAAAATTACCTTTGAAACAAATTGTTTTAAATTTGGAAATTTGGCGATTTTAAAGGAGCTATATAAAGCTCTTTGATTTTATTAACGTCAAAATAAATAATTGATTTTCAATGATTTGACATGTTATTTCAAGTAATGATTGGACTAGCTCTTTTTGGTTTGTTGGGTCACTTTAATGTTATTTTGGCCTTGCTGTGTATAAAAAATCATACACATGTATCATTGATTTCATCTATAAATTTCAAAATTTAAACAAGAATAGTCATTACACAGGTTAAAGAAAATAAATATATACATTTTAACAAAATTAATAAACAAAAGTAAATTTACATTGATTGATTAATGGATCTTATCATATGACAAATAGAGTTTTGGTTTGAAAATGTGGTCTTGATCCACCGGTTAAACAATTAATTCTCCATACAGGTACTACCAATGCAAGGTGAATGACGATTTTCCTCTCAATCAATTGTAGGACATTCTGAATGACCCTAGAAACTGTATAGACTATATTTTTTATACGTCCACATCATAATGTGGATGCGTATTGCCGTTGCCCTACTCTCGGTCACCCAGGATCTCCTAGTCTTCAACGTACAGAGGATCTGGGAACGTCAATATTTGGCGAAAAGTTCCATTGCCAATGCGTAACCGGTAGTTTGGTTTTTATGTGGTTGATTATCCAGTATCTTTGGCCAAGTCAAGTAAGAGTTGCCCCTCTTCCTGCAATAAATCCCATAATTCTTGCATTATTATAAACAAACATGAGTCGTGACGACAAATTAGGATTAATTAAAAAAACATACATTTAGATATTGGTCCATGAAGAGAGAAATTTTACAATAAAAAAAGTTAAGACTTTTGGATATTGAAATTGAACTTGCAATGCAATCAAATGGATTTTTTGAAATGGCAGACTTAAATTAATTTCATTAGCGTCGACACCTTGTTTTAGGACTAGTTACCTCCCTTAAACTTTGTTTATGTTAATGTAAAAGACCGGATAATCTAGCCAATGACCTATTATTCTCAAATGTTGACAACGCATCCAGACTAATATTTGCAGAATATTTTTCTGGATGATAAAGACTACCATGTGAAACTTTACACACGTATTCCTTATACCCTTAGGATGATCCCTATTGTTTTTGGTGCATTCCCGACCTCCAGGGGAAGAGCCACGCCCATTTTTTAAAATTTGCTTGACGCATACAGGCCGCATTTCTTAACGGATCTACTTCAAATTTTGCATACTTATTCCTTGTGCCCTAAGGATCATCAGTATTGTTTTTGGTGCATGCCCAACCCTCAGGGGCTCTTAGCACCAAACTTTTACTTTGGGATGTCGAAAATGATCTTTCACAACAGAACCAACACACTTTGAAACCGGTTTCAAAAATACATAAAAGCTGTCAAATCGAAATCTCTCTGATTTATTGAAAAACAATTGAATAGTTTCAGTGTTGGACTCCAGCCTGCAGGCCGCGTGGATTTCCGAGAATCCCAGTCTAGGAAACCTGACGTTAATCTGTGACGGGAAAACATGTATCTGACGACGAGATTATGAATTTCACCGGAACATGGACGCAGATAAAACTGACGGATGCATTGTACATAGTAGTTCACAGGATATATATGTCGTATTAGTAAATGTTAGCCGGGGAAAATTTTGGCAAGCTTTGTGACGCGGCCTGCAGGCTGGAGTCCAGCCATGAAACTATTCATTTGTTTTTTTCAGACAACTAGTATCACTATGTATAGCATTTGTTGTAAAACTAATTCGGAGAGATTTTGATTTAACAGTTTTTATGTATTGTGAAACAGGTTCCGAAGCGTTTTGATTCTGTTATGCAAGATCATTTTCGACGTTCCAAAGTAAAAGTTCGGTGCTAAGATCACCTAAAGATAAATTTTAAATGTTATTGAAAATGTGATTACTTTCGATCACTTTCAGCTTATTTTCATGATAAAGGAATGACTGTGCATTCACTTTCAGTGCAAATGAACCCATTTGACCTTTGACCTCGAATATCTCGAAAACGCCCCAACGGCGGACTGATCACCACTCGGCATCGTATTCTACGCAAAATTTTACTCTAGAAAAGTTTGGTCTGGTTTTGTGCCCATTTGATGCCCCCCCCCCCCCGATCCTCCAGACTATACCCGCTAATAGGAGAAAAATTTGGTTATATATGAAAATATTTCTACAGTAATAATGACATTAAGATGGTTAAAATTATGTTTTGATATTTAATTTAGTCATCATGAATTTTATAAGAAAGAGCTTGGCTTAATAACTTGTACTTAAAGCTCCAACGAACCCCTATGGCTACATCGTATTAAATTTATAACAACCTTCTCTCTAATCTCCATGTTTAATCTTTTAACAATTATCGTAATCTTGTGCTTATATTAACTTATCTTTACGCTTATTTACTGTTTTCAACGATACAAATTATTCTTGTGAAAAGAAACAGCGCCCCCTACCCATGTTTATTATAACCATATTACCATATTATGATCTTTCTCTTCGCGATCATGATAATGTTCTTTATACAGATTAACAGCTAATTTATTTTATTTTTACGGGACGCAAAATACGCAGGTTATTCGGTACAACTAATCTACCGACAGCTTAAGAATATTATTAACGAAGATTTAATTAAACTTCGTTACTCAGTAAACTTGTCTCTTATCTCAATTTCGATGAATTTTTTTTTTCTTAAGTTAAAACTAAAACTTGATTAATAACAAGTAATGAACACAAGATGTATAAAATGATGAAACATACTTCTGTCGATTTCTTTTTTTTATTTTAAATCAAGGTTGTGCGAGCACTGTCTGTATATTTATTCAAAAGTGGTTTTAAAATGAATATATCTCTTTCAAGTACATTTGTATTATTCAATACTGAATTTAAAGAATATTCGACCAATATCAATCCATGCAAGACGCGTCAGTTTTACTTTATATAGAACAACTGATACCACTTCTTCTAACAAACTTTAGTTAGATTTAATTAGAGTAGGTTTTCACATAACAATTTACATCTAGTTTAAATTTCCACATAACAGATTAGAATTTCACAGTTAAAATTCACTTCTATTCAAATAAAGAATTTCTTGAGCCAAGAGTTATATAAGGTTTGAACATTACCTATACATATGTATTTGAAAAAAGCATGAGCTTAATAGAATTGATAAGGGAGTTTGACATATTTAACCCTTATGTTTGCAAAGTTGGGGGCCTAAAATCATGGTTGGGACCTAAATCTCTTTTATAATTATAGGCAATCACAACGGTCCTCAGTTGTTTGTAACTTTGTAATGTTGTGTATTAATCTGATTTAATGTGACCCTACCCAACTTATTATAAATCGTCTACACAAAGAGTTTATTAACAATAACATGATGATAAGAATTTATTTAATCTCATAATAGATATAAAAATAATCCCTTCAACCACTAACCATGCCAGTGTATCAGATTAATTTAATCAGGCGAAAATTTCATCTCAACGATTAACTCGTCAGCTTAATAAGCAATTCATGGCGCATACATAAGCCACACCCCCTGCTGAGAACATTTCATTGGAACACACAGCTTGACCGAGCTTTTATGTTATATTAGATTTAAGGTTTTATGACTTTTCTATATTTAAAAACTTGAGTTTCTAGATCATAATGTATTTTTGGTATTTTCTGGATACAGAATTATCTTCATTTAGATCAGAGTTGAAGATAAGATAATTTGTCTTGTTTTATTTTGAAGATTTTGTTGAAATTTATGGTCGGATTTACATGTACATGTATGTGATGTTAATGACTTTTCTTGTACACCTTTAGAAAATCTGTCATCATTGAAAATTAGAATTGCATACATAATAAACGTGCTTGTTGCCAGTATGATTGAAATATAATATAATTTTGATTCATTTTTCT